CATTGACTAGATCTCTACGATCTCTCGCCTGACAGGCGTTTGCGGCGTTTTCCGCCCTATTTATACCCGAAAATGACCAGAATCTCCCGCGCGAGATTCCCGCCATTTCCTATGCGTCTTAAAGAGGGGAGGTTTTCTAGAAGCTTCTAGAATCTTCTAGAAGCGTAGTTTTGGGCCCCATCTGGCCCCCAGCCTTCCAACGGCCGTCCGATAACCGAAGGATAAAACAAACATTCGCGTTGACCTGAACGTTCGCTCGGGATTCCGTGCGTCGTCTAAAACGTTCGAAAATTCCAATGCGCGTCGTCAAAATTTTAATAGAAAATTTCCGTACGTATAAACAATTGCGACCTCTTTGTGCATCTGATCGTGGAGATGCTCGATTCTCGCTCGAGATGCGAGTTGGAAACGGCGATTAGCGGGACCACGAAATCTCCCTTCTACGGTGAACTGTTCAAGTTATCCATTGAGCTTATGAGCCTACTTAGAACGGTTTAGTCGTTATTGAGATCCGATGATCTCAGGTACTCGTAACTCTCCGGTTCGCATAAAGATTATACACAGTCTATCTCGCTGCACGTATACTTGGCGCGAGACTACCGTGATGTCTCTTGATCTCGCTAATTTATGAACAAAATTTATAAAAATATGCGATAATTGTGCACACTAATTTTTAATTTTTTAATAATGCGACAATTGCGAATTGTACAATATTTTGCGATATTTTTATTAATTACGTGCTTTATGATATTTTTCTATAATTTACAAACAATTTGTGGAATTTATGAAATAATTTTACAGTAAAATTTAATTGCTTGATATATTATATATTTATTTCAGGTGCAAAATACATGCAACATTTTAATATTCAGCATGTTTAGAAAGAAACAGTGCATTTAAGAATTATGTAATAGTAGTAAAGATGGTAGTGGGTGCATTTTTTCATAGGTAGAATGTTTAATAACAGTGCATTATTATGTGTCAACAATGGAAGTTGTCCCACCTGTAAAATTATTAATTTATCTGTATACAAACTTTAGAAATTATTATGTTATTATTAAGGTTATTTAGTGCAATGTTTAACGTTCAAAGATCTATTTATAACTTACATAACATTTTTTTCGTTTTTATTTAAAGACATTTTACTTATTTTCTTCCTAGGCCACCTACTGTGTCTTCTACGGCATCAGTTAACGGTTTGACTAACGTATCGGCTAACGTACCGACTAACTGCAAACATTCCAAAAATTTTCGTGTACATAAAAGTAATAATACTGAATAATTTATATTCAATTCTATTGGTACATATTCTATTATAAGTTTGATGTAATTTAAGGGTCCTGGATGGTCATCCGAGAACTCTGCGTTGACGGTGGCGACGTACCGTCGCGGCAGAAATTAGAACTCTCTCCAATGGAGAATTCTGTTCTTTGTGACATGTTGACAACCTATTTTGTCGTGCATGCTACTTCTTTATTATTCGCTCTGTGCTCTAACGTTTAACGTACTCGTGAAAATCGTAAAATTGATTGAAAAGTAAGATTTGCATGCGGGAGGAACGTTTTCACCTCCTTTCGATAGTCGTTAACAGTCGTTAAACGGCTGTTTTCCCGTATGTTTAGGCTTCGTTTTATGGCTGTTTGTTTATTGTCGAGGGAAAAGGATAGTTTTCGGTCAATTTCGGAAGTGTTCTGAAACGATCTATAGTGATGTTTTATTGAAATGTCTTTTTATTTGAAAATGGCATGCACAACAAAATTGGGTGTTTTCCTCGCCTCGATAGTAAGAATCCAATATGGCCGCGGTGACCGTTTAGGAGCCTTAAGTAGTATGATATAAATTAGACAGTTTTGTTCAGTTTCGTTAGTTCTTAGAAATCGTTCAGTTTTTGTTAGTTTTTAGTCTAAACTTATTTTTTATATGCAAATTGATACAATTCTATAATTATAAAAATTTGTTTGAACTTCTAAAGTTTTACAATATTGACTTTTATATCTATGTTAAAGAAATGGGTTTAGGATTTAATTATATATAATCTTCAAAAACAGTAGATAAATTTTTATTAAATAGATTGTGGATTTTGTATTTAATTTTGTGGTATAAACTAATTGTATAATAAGACATTCTCGTTTATGGGTGTTCCGAAATTTGAGGGTAATAAGATTGTAGCATAAAAGTTCGTGAAAAATTAAGTAATAAAAATGCATGCCATTTTTTTCATAAAGTAGTTTCTTAAAGATGGTTTAAGATGGTATTACCAATCATTCGCGCATTGGTTAAAAAGTGTGATCGTGCGGCAGTATGCGTACCAACAGCGGCAACGTTTGTTTGACGTGAAGTGTTTGACATCTAATACCACTGCACGACACACGACACACAGGTGACTTTTTATCCAATGCTTACGATTGGCGGGTTGCACCTTAAACTTTTATATTTAAAAAACTATTTTATGAAAAGAATGGTATTATGCACTTTTATTATTTAATTTTTTACGAATTTTTATGCGGCAATCTTATTACCTTCGAATTTCGGGACACCCTGTATATACTTTCTTATTTCTTTTTAGTATATTTTTGGTATTTTGATATTATAATTTACTTTGTGTAATTTATTTTTGTATTTAACACTTACCCCGCCGCCGCTGTTGTCTTGACGAACATTACGTGCGGCTTTTGTACCGTCAATCTAATTAAAAAGAAGGTAGAAGATTAAATTAATAAAAGTTTATTAATAACCAATTTAGTTGACAGTTTCATGCATAAAATTAATCAATGTTGTTAAACAAATAGTAAATTCTAATAAATAAATTAGTCGGATTTAACTGTTTTACTCTGCAGATCAAATGTCTGGAATCTTATATTATTTTAGAGTTACATTTTTTAATATTGGAATTTAATGTTTAATATGTGATAAACAATATTTAGAAGAATATTATTTTTGATACTAAATTATGTACAAATAGATATATTGTGACAGATATGTATATTGTATATGCAGAGGGTACACGTCGCTCGGAATTGAGCAATACGACTAATTATAAAAAAATGAATACATGTTTTTACACAATTGTACATTGCTATGAGATTCAGCTTTTTCAGAATTTTCTCAAGTTTTTTGTTTATGGAAAATATATCTATATACGAAGTCGGTGATTGATGTACGCCATTAAAGAAAAATCGAAAAATTCTTTACAATTTTTAAATATCTTTAACATTAAGCGAGATATTGCAAGTTAAAATTTTAATAATTTCTCAAATCAAGTACTTATAAATGAGATGCATATCTGCATATTCAACAAAATTATCGCAACACTCAATTTCCATCAAAATTTCGCATAACTTTAAATAAGCATATCTCCGCGAAAAATTGTCGTATTTGAAAAACTTTTTTTTTCATTCTAAAGAGTAAAGTTTGTAAATTAAGGAGCATTCGCTAGATTTTGGATTTATCCTCTCCTCTTCCAACCATCTTTTCAAAAGTAAGGACGTGTTTTGTCTCCAAAAAGTTGCATAATTTGACGCACTCTATATGGGATATAAATTTTTTTTTTGCAAATGTCATGATAGACCATCGTAAATATGGACTTTTCCTTGCAAATTAAAAGAATGAGGTTTGTACGATTTTTTTTCACGGAGTTACGATATATTAAAGTTACCTATGCATTTTTGTTTAGTTACCGCCTCCTCCCAACTTTTTTAAAGACTTGTGTATAGTTATTTGTTCCTACACTTTCAGGGCATTATTTTTTTCTTGATAGGACGATGCAATAATCAAAATTATTTGTAGTAATAAAAATTTTTAAACTATTATCATATATCAGTGTATACATACTGCTTTTCCGAATACGATTCCGATGACGGCCAACAATAAAAATAAGTACATCAACACCCGCATGATTGCTGTCTGGCAAGTACGATTTATACTTATAGGGTTTGAAAATACTCAGTTTCTGCGAAGTCCTTCGCCTTCAAGTAAAATCAACTGGAAGCAAATGAAGTAAGTGCGTCTGACTTATCGAGAACTCCCTTATAAAGCTATGCTGTATCTTATCGTTCCTTGAAAATTGTTTCAAAATTATAGTGCAAAATTACTGTTGTTAAACTTTTAAAAAAAGTCATTTTTGTTATCGTGAATACTAGGTATATATGACGTATGTGTGTGTGTGTGTGTGTATACGTCATTAAAAAATTTTAGAATTTTATTTTTTATTTTATTTTATTTCTATTATATATTAATAAAAAAATTTTGTATAGTGTTATTAATAATATGCTATTCAATTATTATTTACATGTTATCACAATAAAATGTTATTTAATATGTACGTGTGTGTTTCTTAAAAAGTGCCTACTAACGACAAAGCGTTATATTTCTTTTCAAATATTATATTTAGTCGAGAGATCATTCTTTTTTATAATGCTTAAGACTTCTGTCTACTCGCCGCTTCTATCCTTGCTTGATAATGTTAGAAATTGCATGCCAAAAATTCTTGCGCTTTTACGTTAAGATAAAAAGATATATCCATAAAACGCGCGCGCAATTGTAATTTCAGAACATTTGTAAAATATACCGAACACTTTTCTTTGGGTTTAATAATTAATCAATAAATAACTGTAAAATAATGAAAAATAAAAGAAGACATGTTAAGAAGATAGATTGCATGTCACGTTAAGTTTACGGTTATTTAGTGATTATTAAAACGTCCTTGTCCTTGCGCGACAATGCCAGCTTAACATCGATGTAATACGGAATTTATTACAACACAAATTTTCTGAGATTTTTGTTGTATCTCAGTAATTAAATTATTAATTCGTTGACTTAATCCCTATAAGTAAAAGTCAAGAGGCATTAAATCTTGGTGATTTCGGAGATCAGAAGACCGTTGTTGTTACCTATATTTCATGTTCCGTTTCAATATTTGTTATAACTTTGTAAGAAAGCATTTTTAGCCAAACTTCATATAACATTTTCTTATTATTATTACTTGTAGAATATGCTCCCGCAATGTGTCGGGTAAAACCCGGGACTCGTAGATAAGAAATGAGTCATGTTCAGAAAATTTTCGTAATTTAGCAAAAGCTATATTGCAACATTATACAGCAATTTTTTCAAAGCGATATAACTAAGGTCACATACTTCGCAATTTTTCTACGACGCAAATAGTTACGTTTTGTACGTATAATGATGCCTAAAATGCCGTGATAAGTACCTACTGCCCGACGACATAAACACAACCATGCAAATGTGTGAATTGGCACGTGCAGCGCCACTGTGTTGTATATATATTCCTAGTTCTCTCAAAAATTATTTTATCGCAGATTAGATGTGACGGATTAAAATGTCAAAAAGATAGGAGTGAAAAAGGATAAAATTAATTTTTTTCAAGCTATTTATATGCGGTTTATATCCACATATTATTTGCAGTATAGATATTATAAAAATAATTTATCTTAACTTTCTGTATTCTTGTATTTATGTGCCTATCTGTACATGTATGCGGATATACATGGCGTAAAGATGTTCTTCAGTCTTCACATTCCATATTCATAATTGTTATGTCCACAATGTATTACATACAGGATTTTACTTTTACCGTTTTATGATTCTGTCATTTTTCTCAGATATCTATTTATGTTAAACAATGTTCTTAATGATTACAAAACTATAGTCAATTTGTTAAATATAAGAATTATTTAATCCATTATGCGTGTGCTTTGGCGCGCGCGCGCGCACACACAACACACACACACACACACATAAGGTAAAGGTACCAATACCCGGACATGTACCTATATCCGGACACCTTTATTATTTATAAGTATAACGCGTATTAAAATCAAAGATAAAAGTATTTTTTCTTGTAGTTTGAAACTTAAGTTATAATATCCAAACGTTTATTTTCATAATTTTATGTTTTTTTAAAGGTATCCAGACACAGATACGTGTCCAGGTATTGGTACATTTCCTATGCTTAAGCGTCCGGGTATTGGTACCTTTACCTTATGTGTGTGTGTGTGTGTGTGTGTGTGTGTGTGTTGTGTGTGCGCGCGCGCGCACGATAAAGATAATTCAACTAATGATAACTCATCTCAGTGGGACCAAATAACGAGTATTAAAATTCTTATACATATATTTAAGATGTAGCTGTGAAAACGTTTAATGTTTTTCTATGATATAAATGTATTTTCTACAATTAAACAATTGCATATAAATATGAGATAAAGCTATTAATGACTACCAACTAGAGCAGACAATAACTATATACAAACATATAATACAATAAAACGTTTTTCTCCATACATACTTCTTTTTAAAATATTTTTTCTATTTTGATAATATATGTAAAATCTACTATTTTACTTAATTTATATTTA